TTCCTGCTCAGTAGTTCTCGTTTTGATCATAAGCTTGTTCGCAATGCCGCAGCGATTTAACTGCTTTTTAAGGGGACATGGTAAGAAGAGATTCTCAATAAGGATAGATAGATAGATGTATACGCAAATGTATATAGCAAAAATATGAATTTAAGCACAACACTAAACTGTGATTTGAAGTAATGAAGAGACTTTTTAAAATAGTGCAATATATTACGGTTAAAAGTTAGGTGACTTAACAAAACATCTTTTCTTGACACAGGACACTGCTATGAGCAAACTGTGGTTCAAGCAAGATGACAAATTTTTTTTGCCAAAAGCTTGTCTCAACTTTGAGTTTTTCAGGTATGCAAGGTTAAGTATATTGCACAAATTGCTCTCCAAAAGTTTCTTGTTTGTTGGGAATATGCATTTCTGTGGCAAAAACTTTATTGCATGTTTTGAGGCTTGAAAAGGTTTACCCTTACTTGGGAATATGCGATAAGATACAGGTAGCAAGAAGGCTCATGTAAGTTATGCAGTAGTTGAGTAGCAAGCAATTTGAGGTGCTCTGTCTATAGTAACAGGAAAAGTTTATCTAAAAATAGTTTTAAAACAAATTTTCTACTATGTTTTATTTACTATATCTGAAATAGGCCTGTCAGTAGCATGTGCTACATATTGCAATATGCCTCTTTAAAAATGGATGTGTATTATTTTTAATTCATTACTAAATTGCAACTATTTTAAGATAGTGTTTTCCATATGAAATGCTATTTCAATAATGTTTTTTAGGTTCAAATTCTGTTTTAGTTTGCGTAGACACAAGCCAGTATAAAATTCTAAGTGCTTAAAATTGTGGGATTTTATTTAACTGACACCAACAACTGATTTTTTTTTTTTTTTTAGAAGAACAGTCTCTATTATCAATGAATGTGTGATTCTCACCTGAAGGTGCATGATTAAGCGCTGTAATGTTAAGTCTGGTCTTGCATTATTTTCATCACAAGAAAAGTATCTTTTTTTTTTTCCTTAAGTGGGCATGACAATGATGTACCTTCTTAGTATTCATTTCAAGTAATAATTTCTAAAGTTTGAATTTAAAAAAAAATACTGTTGTCTTTAGAGTGCAGCTATTTCTGTGCTGGACTACTGAAAGTGAAAATAATTTCAGGAACTCTCCTCCTTTGGCTTAATTAAATGATTGAGTGATATTGTTGGAAAGACTGTTATGTGGGCTTGAGAGCTGCTCATAGATGCTCTGTTGAGTCCTTGTTTTGAGTGACCATGTGAAATTTTTCTTGGCAGAATTTTAGATAGAGGTTTTTTTCAGAGTGTGTCAAATGTTGGTACTGGTGTTACTGCTAGTTGGGAAGTACTGGTTGCCTGGGCATTTCCTCTTTCTGCTTTTTAAAATCACAGGACAAACATTACAACTATTTTAACTTCGATGTGTCAGGAAATGAAAGATCAAAATAGTAACTGCCCATCTCTTATTCAGAGAACAATAATTGCTGTATTTTGCTTTCTTCGTTCATACCTGGTGACTTTCCATTGTACTATGTTTGGCCAAAATCTAAAACAGGATTTTACTGATAGAGTCTGAGTTTGTTATACAGTCTTGGTGGGTTTGTTTTTGTGTGTTGTGTTTGTTTTTTTTTTTTTATTAGTTCCAAATGAACTATGAGGGATCCAATCTCTATACCAGTTTGTGATTAAAAGATAATAATAAATTTTGTACACAAAGGTATGAGTATGTGCAGATATGCATGGCATCATAGAATCATAGAATGGTTTCATTTGGGAGGGACCTTTAAAGGTCATCTAGTCCAACCCTCCTGCAATGAGCAGGGAAGTCTTCAACTAGATACATGATGATAGTCGGATTCCGAGTTAGATTTGTACTTTGATCTCAGTGAGCTCTTTTGAAAAGCTAGGACTACTTGAGCTTTGCTGACTAATGTATGGAATGGTTTGCCTCCTTCCTCCTAGGAATGGTTTACAGGTGGAAAGCTGGCTTTGTTCTTAGGGTTGGGGGTGAGAGTTCTTTCCTTTTCTTTAAAAATGAGGTGGTAATTTTATATGAAGTGGTGTGAGGACATTTTGACAATATTGAGTACATCATTTCCAGAAGAAGTTGTAAGCAGGTTTGTCTGGTTTTGATACTTAAGAGGGATTCTTATTGAGTCTCTCTCTTGAGACTGGTCATGCTGATGGTCATTGGAGGAAATGGTCAAATATATAGTGTTTATTCATGAGACATGATGAAATTGCCCTTAGCTCTTGTGGACAAGTGAATTGGTGAATAAAACCATCTTAATAACATGGGGTTTCATAAAAAGTTTTTAGCCTCAATTCTAGATCAGAATATGATGACTATGCTGCTTTAGAGGAGATTAAAAGAATTTGTTCACGCTACAGACGGCTCAGTAAGATAGAAAAAACTAGGAAGATTTCTTCTGCCTGCAGCCCCGGTCATCATGAATCACTGGAAGAATTCCTGACCCAGGTGTTGTAGCAGCAACTGCTGTGTAGATGAATTAAGAGGAAGTTGATGAGAATGGTTTCTCCCTTAAACATACAAATCCAGTAGGAACAAGAGCATGGGGACTTCTTGAAGTCGTCTTGTTCCAAAACTGAAAATCCTTACATGGTGCAAGACTTGCATTAAAGAAACACCACAGTAAAAACCTCTGACATGAGACTTCTCATCCAGCCTAAAGGGTGATGATAAGCTTTTGCTTTTGTATGAATTAGACTTAAGAACTGAGAAAGTACTCTTTTATAAAATGAAGTGAAATAACAATGAAACGTGGTATTGTTTTGAAAGCTTTCTAAACGTAGTTATAAACTCTGCACTTAAAAATTTCCCAAGGTTTAGAGAGATGAATGTGAAAAATACAATGCTAATTATGTTTAACTGGATACTTGCTACCTTCCAGTTTAAGAAATATTTCAAGCAACTTGAGTTGCTCATAAAGTAACCAAGTATAAACAATTCAATGTTGATTCCAGCTGTGTCACTTCCAGCTCTTTTTGAAAAGGGAAAAGACTAGACTTTAAGGTTTTTCAAATAAACTGTCAGTGATTGAGTGGTTCTGCTTCCTCAAGCCTAGTCGAAAGGTAAACTAGAAATAAGCATTTATTTACAAAGTTGTCAGTAATAGAAGGCTACTCCCAGAACAGTGTTATAATAATTGTTTTCTGTTATTTTTCACTTGAGGATTTATTGTTTACAAAACTCCCTCTTGGCCTTTGCCAGCTAAATTAATGTACAGAAGTTATAACTGATACAGACATAGTAGTCATGCAAACTCATTAAGTCTCGATATTCTAGTATCAAAATGGAAAGGAATATAAAGAGTTTGGAAGAAGATTTATGATAACATAGGATTGACCTACATCTTGCATTGAATTCAGTCTTAATTAAAAAATTCAATATTAATTGGATTTACAGCATTGGGCATATTGAAATTGCTCAGTTTTGGGAAATGCTCATTGTAGGGGAGAAATGCAAATAGCAGAGTTTAGGGTTTTTTTTGGGTATGTGTTTGTTTTGATTTTGTTACTGACCTGTTGGCTTAAGTTACATAAGCCCAATCCCAGAATAATTAACCCAGTGGTAGTAAAAAAGCGTATCCTAGTCTAAGGTTTCAGATTGTAGCAGGCTCGGCTTCTCTAATACATTAAAAAAAAAAAAATTAGAAGGATCTCTTCCCATGCTTCCTTTCCTTAACCTAAACGGAAAGAGAAGTCAAAGCCTTATTAAAAACTACTAGGAACCTTCTTAAAAATACCTTTGCAATGTATTTCAGCATGTAGTGGTGATGTGATATTTGTTTTACTACATTAATGTTGGTATATGCTATGAAAAACCATGCTATATAGGTGTAAACATATATACTAGCATGTCTCTGAATATGACCATTAGTGACTGCATAGGGAAAATAAATGCAAATGGTGTGGTTTTGAATTGTAAGCCATCTTGTGATAGCAAATTGTTTTAGATACTGCTAATTATTTGTATGAAATTAATAATGAATTTACATGTGCTTTAGAAATAAATATTCAATCATAGTACAAATGACTTGGCAAATCTTTAAAGCACGCAGATATTTAGCAATTGGCACAGTTGAAACATGACTTGAGTCAGAGTTGCATTTCTCTTTTTGAGAAATTTGCGACAGTATCATATGTGATCAAATGCTTCTAATACAATAGTAGAACTTGTATAGTTGTTGCCATTAAAAAGATAATACACAAAATTATGGTGGTATAAAGATGGATATGCCAGACTTCTTTCCTGAGCTGAACGTAGCATGTACTGCATATTTTTCATACCACAAATTGCTAACCTATTTTTTTATAATAGAAACTACTTTGTTTTCTGATAGTGTAGAAGTATTAATTAATTTAATTTTCAGTACATGGGCTTTTATTTCAGTCTGTTAAATTATGTTGGTCATTCAGGGTGTATTTAGTTTCTTTTATTCCAGGTGAATTCTGACTGTGCAGCAAAGTAAATATAACATGTCTTGATTTATGAGCACAAATAAGAAACTGTCTCTGGAATCTTCAGTATATTTAGACATTGCTCAAACCATAAGCAAGCTAAATCATTATTTTCAGATGTGTTCATATTTGGATTCAAAATAGGAATCCTTCATAATGGGATCCATCAGCATACTCCCAGTAAATATTGTTTCCTTCAGATCAAACTTAAAAGGCCAAAAGAAACTGAGAAATAATCTTAAACTGCATATTTTATTTTCAACATTTTCTTCCAGCCCATTTGCTTACGTGGATCCCTTGCATTGTAACATGGCCTATTTGTACCTTGAACTACTCAAAGACTCCCTCAACGAGTATGCATATGCAGCAGAACTAGCTGGCTTGAACTATGATCTCCAAAATACCATCTATGGGATGTATGTAAGTACCCAAATCAAGGAAAATCTTAGAGCCTTGAAACTGCTTCCACTCATCAACATTTTTATATTGATTTGATGGAAGGACTTTTATTTTAAAATATGAGTCAAAGGCTGTTACTCCTTTTGATCTTGGTTATTAACCATCCTTTCTTTAATTTGAATTTTAAGTTGAATTTTGTTCAAAGTCTTCAACAATCTTTCCATTCATATTAAGCAAATTTTCTTCTTTATTTTTATATCATTCATAAAATTAATCAGTTGTAAGGTTTGTTCCTCCATTTGAAAAAAGCAACCCTAATCCAAGCTTACGTGTTTATTTCAGTTTGTCAAATATCTACTAAAAACTTTCTGACTGATGGGGTAGAAGCCCCCCCTTTTCATGCTATTAAATAAATAGTACACTTCAGCTTTCCTGTTCAAGAACTACTGATCATGTGGCTGCATATACATACTCTTCAGTCATGTTTCTTCATCCATTACTTTGTCACTGCTTGAGGTATCAAAGCATTTCTTTTGTTTTTCTTTTTGTTAGTCGCTACATTTATGCTGATCCTCTCCATTGCAACATGACATACCTGTTTATCAGGTTATTGAAGGATGATTTAAAAGAGTATACATATGCAGCACGCCTCTCAGGTTTGATCTATGGCATTGCATCAGGAATGAATGCAATACTTGTAAGTAAGAAAAAAACGCAGGAGGAAGTGAAACAGCTTGGGAGTTGTTGAGCTTGGAGAAAACATTTGACTTCTGCATTTCTAAATGAGATGGTTAATGTTTTTTTCCTTGCATATATCTCATGAATTAAAGGCAAAGCAAAACTGTATTTTAATCAGTACTGAGTGACCTGTTCGAGATTGCAGTGTCTTGTGAACGTGTGCAGTGCAATCGTTGCATTCTAGTTCACATTTTTACTTGCTTGCATGGTAATCTTGAAAGTAGTATTGCTGGTTTCTATATAAAAAGATTAACTTTTCTGTTGGATGAATCTCAACTTTACAGATTTTGTTATAATTCTCTAATTCTTCTGTAGTAAGCTGTGGAAATGGATTGTGCATGTGTTCCATTAGAATGCAATGCTGGATACCGAACGGCTTTTCCTTAGTGTTTGTTTTGATAACGTTTTATAATCTGTTTTAAAGTGCTGACAATACTTACTTGATAAATACTGAAGTTATGATAAATGGTTATTTCTTACTCTGCTTCTATGAGATTTATGATCGGAGATGTTAATAGTCTCTTTTGAAGTTCTGTTAAAAGCTTTTATTAATCATCATTTTATACCAGATGTGTTCTGAAATTTCCTGTAGAAGTGTTATATTTCTGAAGCATCTTAGAGAATATACTGTATATTGTCTTTACACTTCCTGTTTGAAAGAGACTGCTGCAATTTCTTTTTTTATCCAACGCAAATCTCATTTCTGGTAGCACTCACGTAACTTACTGCAAACATGGTTATCTATTTGGAATTTCAAAGTTTGCTGATGTTTCCATGATCAGAGTTAATTCTTAAAAAAAAAAAAAAAAAAAAAAAGTGTGTGTGTATGTAATTTTCTTCACTTTTAGTTACGATTTAGAATTTTAGAGTTATTTTAAATATTAGCTGTTTCTTATAGGGTCTTTACATCCTTCTAATGTGAAGATTTCTGTTTTTGTGTATTAAGATCAGTTTGCTCCATAATACTATTTTCTGTATCGTGAGAAGTTTTATACTCAATAGGTGTAACTACAATGTTGATACTTTAAGCAAGGACAGATGCTACACTGAAAACAATCACGCGTGGTGACTGTTGAACAGTTTGGTTCTTGTGCTCAGTTAGGATATCAGCCTTTGTCATAAATCCATTTATGATAGCTTTTTCTTCAAATTCATGGTTCGGGTGTGTTTCAGCAGCTATAGAAGAAAAAATTCTTCATACTGGAAAGCAGGAATTCACCTATATGTTGATTTGTGTCCTAAAATTTAGTTTTACCCTTAATAATTAAACTGCACAAATACAATCAAACTCCTGTTTCGAGATATCAAATTTTGAAGTTCTCTCCAACAAAGGCCTTCTTTTTTTCACTAGACAATCTTCTGTAGCTTGATGCAGTCATATAGTAATTTTGAGTTTCTATGTTGTTTTTTTAAATTACCAAATTTATTTCACGTATACTTTAAAAAAAAATGTGTATGACCAGATCAATTTCTCATTATGATTGTAGACTAACTACCTTGGTGTTACAGCCCAGCTCCATCCTGGTTATAAATTGTGCTGCTGTTGACAGTACCCCTTTTTTTGTAGTACTGCTTACTTCCGCTTTTTTTGAGCAACAAGAAAAACATGAAACAAGGTTAAAAGTAAATTGGAGATAAGAAGGCTGTGAATCTAGATTTCATTACTAAAATGAGAAACCTAGAGTAAAACCATTTCAGTACTTCAAATGTACCATTTACTGACTGGTCTCAATACTTGTAATCATTAAAATTCTACATTCTGAGTACAGTTTGCTTATATAAACATGAAATTACATTAATTTTCTACATTCATAACTCCTGGGCAAATATGCAATGTTATATTCATCATTAAGTTATCTTTTGATGGGTAAAGGGATTTTATTTCAGAATGAGTTAATGTTGAATAATGTTGAATTTAGAGTAAGTGTTGAAAAGTGTGTTGTTCATTGAATTATACAAGACTTGGTAATTGTTTTATTCTTTTATCTTCCAAATTTAAAGCAAATTATACGCTTTTTCCATAGCTTTCTGTAAAAGGTTATAATGACAAGCAACATATCTTGCTCAAGAAGATCATTGAGAAAATGGCTACTTTTGAGATTGATGAAAAACGATTTGAAATTATCAAGGAAGCGGTAAGCTACATGAGAAATTTACATTTTGGAGTAATTTAAAATTGAATGCATTGACTTGAAATGAAATCCGAGGGCTGATTATCCATGGAAATAGAGAGTGAAGTTCTGTCCCATTGAGACTGCAGAATATATTTTTCTTTTGTCGTTTTGGTGGCCGTGAGTTCCCCACAAGTGTTCGCATGACATTCTTTGTTCAAAAATAATTGGTCCTGTAATCTCCTTTCAATTGGTCTTTCTTATGGTTGATCACGGGATTGCAACTTACTTTGGTAGGAGTATAAATCTAGGAAGAGGGACAGGGTGGGGAAATCTTAACTTTATATCCTGTTTTACAATCTGGAAAGGCCCTGGTGGGATCTAGCTGTAAAAGAAGGGGAAAATGGATGAAGGGGGAAAGGAAGTGTTGAAAAGATTTGCAACATCTCTCCTCCCCAGATGTGAAGAGGAGCTCTGCTCCTGGGCCAAGATCCTTTGGTGCAAAAGTAACCAGCTGGTCAAGTACATGCTGACTTCTGGAAGTCTCACTTCCTAAATTTAATGACTGATCTATATATATAGAATGTAAGTTAGATATTTTTTTTTTAGCTCCTGAAGTAAATTTATGAATGGTGATTACATTTGCTAAGCCAAACAAGATACGTAATTGTTCTTCTGGTGCTTTCTTTAGAGCAAAACAGTGGTAAACAAAGGAAATTAACAAATTGGATATTGGCACTCATAGCAATGATTCGTTGTGGAGATACAAATGAGTGCACAAGCATTAGACTGGTGTTGGGGAACAGGCTGACTTCTGGCCCAGAAAGCTTGCAAATAGTCTGCAGTAGATGAGAGAGCTGGGGCTGCAGGGAAGATCACTCCATGCTTGCTGTGGTCTTACTTTAATCCTCTGCTGCCAGTGGTTTTTGAACAGGTGACTGGCCTAGACAGACACCAGGGCCATCTTTAGTTCATTACTATTTAGTAGGAAATTCTAAGCTGGTGGATATCAAACATGAGGTAGATTTATTATGACAGCACTATATTTAGGACTTTGTGTACCAAAGATAACATTAATTGTCTGGAAAGTTTTAACTGGATGTGACAAATGTCAAGGTTAAAAAACCCAACCCACAGGTCTGCAAATGATCTGTTTTGGGTGATTTTCTTTCAGTTTAAGATGTTTCCATCATTGTCTTTACAGTTCACTTGAACTTTGTATTATGCATGTTTTGTCATTTTATAGACTTTTGTTACATAAGGCCTTTTGTATATGTAAAATACGGACAAAATACAAATAAGTCATATCAGATGGGGAAATTGCAGTTTTTTCTCTCATGCCTACACCTAACAAATAAGGGAGATTTCAGCTTCTGCTCGGAACAGATAGAAGGATGCATCCTCAGCATTGTCATACTTGCAGTTTCTCACTCATATGCCTTGAAATGAGTTACTTTTCTTCCGTGCTGGAAATGATCCCAGCTTGCCAAAACTATTAGTTTGCACATTCCGGTTCCTCTGGTAGAAGGTTTTGCTTATTTTGTAAAGGTGCAGCTGGACTAGAAAGGGGTTTCTTTGGAGAAGATTTTTCTCTCATACCTTCTTTATCCAAACAAAGAATGCAAAGAATTTCCCAGATGCTCCTGATTTTTCTAATGTCAGCCCAGGGAAGCAACTGGGAGCAAAATGAATTTTCTCTTAGCGACATTCTCCCACCCCTGCCCCTGGGCAGTCATCATAGAATCCAAGTTGGTATGGGTAGAGCAACTTGATCTAAATACTTATTTAGATCTAACTGCAATAGTTTAATTTCCAGTCATTAATTTTATGGAGAAGTTTGATTTCATGCTCATTTCAACTATCTGAATGGTTACTACTTAATCCATAGGCTCAGAAGCCCACAGTATTACTAAGGTAATTTAACACAATTCTTTTTTAACAGGTCTAACAAGCAAGATAATGTTCTTGACATTCGAAATGAATCTTTTTGACAGTACACAAAGTTGAGAGTACAAGGTTAATATTTTATGTTTAGAAATAGAGTTCTATAATTTGAACTTAATTATTTTGTTTTAGTACATGAGATCACTTAACAACTTCAGAGCTGAACAGCCTCACCAGCATGCAATGTATTATCTCCGACTCCTGATGACAGAAGTTGCTTGGACCAAAGATGAATTAAAAGAAGCTCTTGATGGTAATGTTCTGCCAGTTTTAAACTGTGCGATTTACTTCTTCTTATGGAAAATGTCTTCTTACTAAAGTAACGAAGGTAGCTATTTTGAACTCCGCCCATTATTCAAGTGAAGTCCCTGCAGTGCCAGACCTGATGCTGATGGATGTTGATGCCTCTGCACTTGACCTTCAGTTTCTAGAAATTGCAGTGGTTCAGGCAAAAGGTCTCAAATGGCGAAACTTGCGGGTAAAAGCTCAGGCAAAACTTGGAACAGCTTTGTAGTCGTGAGCCTGGGTATGGTGAATCCAATTCTTAACCAACACTGCTAAAATCATTTGGCTCTAGTTGACATCTTGCAGATACAAGCACTTGGAATGTATCTGCGTTGTACTTCTCAATGTGCGTACTATTTAGTTTTTTCCATTATCAGGGAATCCTAACTCTTGTGTCTGTAGATAATATGGAAAAAAGATATAATTTCTGTAGATAATAATGATAATAAAGAATAAGGAACGTTGTGGTTCTTAACAAAGAGCAGGTGCCTCGCTATATTTGGAGGACGACGAAATTTCAAGTTAAGAGATTTAATTGATTTTAGTAATAGCTGAAGAGCTCTTTCCTACCTGTATCTTACTGTGTTACATCAAAAGGCTGTTACTGGGACAGTTTGCAAAATATCCTGTAATATCTTCTTGGAATACACTGAGACATTCATTTCAACAAGAATATCTGGCTTTTGTATTTATTTGAAGGAGTAGATTCAGAATACATATCCATAGTTGTCAAAGACTGACGCGTGCTACAACTGCTTGAAGTTGTGATGCTGAAAACTGCTTCATTAAGATAGACTCTATAGATGCCCTGAGCCAGCTGTACAAGGGCGTGTGTTTTTTCTACAGGATTGTTCCAGGACAGAAATATAAATGTTTAGTTGTATAGTTTCTTGAATGATTGCAGGTATCTCTGAGATTAGCAGTGGTGTCAGTGCTGCCTGTGAAGTCAATGACAAAACTAATGCTGATTTTCATGGCAGTGGATTCAGCTATATGTAGGTTGTTCCTTTTTTAATGACTACTGAATTTTGAAAAAATCAGATTTTCTGTTCCATGTGTAAAGTGTCTTTATAAGATTAATGCTGCTGTATTCAGCATAAGAATGGCTAAAAATGGAACACTGGAAAGGAATGCTATCTACTTAGCAATGCTGGAAAGCTGCTTGAAATACAGGGAGTTTGTGTATTTTTTTTTCCTAATCTTTTGTACTATTAATAAACAATTCTAGAGGCAAAAATTAAGATTAGGATTATACAACAATAAAAAGTGGATTGGAATCAGGAAAAAATGTGGAAATTAATTTTTTTACTGGTGATCAGTTACCTCTTTTAAGAGGGGGAAAGACTGATAAGCATGGTATAGGTTTTTCTAATACAGATCACAAATCTGTTAGATATGCTTACATCGTCCACTGAATAACTGAGTGACCTCATAATCTTGATTGCATTTGTCTTTTCAAAACTTGTGTGAAATACATGGGTATTGTTAGTTTTTATTTTAGCTGAGAAAATGACAAAATGATAAATGAATAGGGTGGTGGTACAGTGTGGGTATTCTTACTGTGTCAGGGAATTAATACTGGAGATGTTGACTTTGGGATGAACACCCCATCCGTTCAACCATCCTTCCTCTCATCCTCCATTGGTTCTATATGTTAAACTATACTTTGCAATATATATGAAAACTGCTTTGCAAAGACAGGCTAGCATAGAATGTGTGTGTATGTGGGATATATTGCAAAAATATTTTTCTTGTGTATTGTTTGTTACAAAGATGCCATCAAAACACCATATTTGAGTTGGGGTTCTGTTTTTAGTCTAGATGGTAAATGCACAGTGTGTTTCTCGAACGTTATAAACTACATGCTGCTTGTTCAGTTAATAACTAAGGCTTTATCTTGGAACACCACCTGAATGATAGCAACTGTTTTCTCTGGAGAATGAATGTTTGTTCAGCATGATTGGAAAGAAGGCTTCTTTCTTTTCTTTTCTTTTTGGAATCTGGGTCAGACGGTATGTGAATTCTAAGCAAAACAAACTATATGATGAGTGCTGCTGTTTAGACATGGAAACTTTCCAATGTTGCATTTTTAAGGAGAGATTCACTTTTTCATGATGATGAGTTTCTCTTTCTCTAAGAAATGCACCGTATCTAATGATGAGTTAGGCACTTCTTAATGTAAAAATGCACGTTATTGATTTAACTGTCTAAATACCTGTTCTAGATGTCACTCTTCCCCGCCTCAAGGCCTTTATAGCTCAACTGTTGTCACGGTTACACATTGAAGCTCTTCTCCATGGCAATATAACAAAACAGGTTGGTGTGATACTTCCTTTAATAAAACAATTTTTGTTTAGAAGCGGCATAAAAAATGGAAGACTAGTTTAATCTTCTCAGATCTTAAAGCAGTTTTGCCAAATATGGTTTCATAATTTAACTTCATATTTTTTTATCTTTATGGGAGTATCATGGGGTCATTTTTTTCACTTTAGATTTATTAGGCTAAGTGCTGCCCTTGTATTGCTCTTGGAAATTTAATAAAAAACCAACTTATACTTTAAAATATTCATATAATATGTTGCATGTCATTAACTGAGATGTGATCAAGCTGCATAAGGAACGATGTGCTGCAGATCCTGCTTTTCCATTTGAAAGTTTCATGCTAACTAGTGAAGATTTAAGAATCCAAGATCCTTCCAAATGAAGTGCTTTGCACAAAGCTAAACAGCAATGGTGCGCCATAAAAAATAAGTCTCAGCTCTCAGTTGTGTCTTTTTGGGAGTAAAAATCAAAAAAAATTTTTTCTGTCTTCCGTTAAAATAGTGACGGCTTGCATAGGAAATCTAACCAAATATTTGAATATATATACTGATACAAAATGTAGTACCTTTCTTGTATGTTTTTGCGTTCTTTTTTTGTAGGGCTAGTATAGTGTTATTTCTGCATTACACCAGCTCTGTGGCGCTTTACTAGCAGGAGATGGTATGAACACTGCTAGTGACTGCTGAATACATGGAGAAGAAAGTTAACTAGTGAGGAGGGGAAAATTAAAAAGATAGAGCCAATAGCACTGGATGCACAAAGTTTTCTTCTTCAAGGATGTCTCTAAATTTTTTTTTAATTTTATAGAGTATTTTTCATGTGAAGAAATGTAAAAAATAATCTTAATTTTTTCCTTATTTCTTACACATCTGTATATGAAAGTCAGTTCCTTCTGAAATATAACTGAATGTTTTTTAGATTTCCTTGATGATGCAGTCATAGCAGAGAAATACATTCTTTATGCATTTATTGGCATAATGGGTGGCTGTTGAAGAGTCCTGCAGGTAGAGAACTGGGAAGGATGTACTGTTACGCCCATAGCTGTGTAATGTTTAGAAAGTATCTGCAAACCTCTCTGAATAGATGTGGGTAGGAGAATTTCTCTGCCCGTGATGTGATCATCACTGACAAAGCTCAGAAATTTTAACATGGATCGAAGATTTTTTCCAATTAAAATCAAAGTTTACATACTCTTGTGACACCTTTCAATACTGAAAAATGTTTTAGTGATTCTGTACTTTTTGAAAAATTAAACCCATCCAGCTGCTTAAAATTCCTGTTTCTTCTTGAATTAATGTCATTCTGATACTTGGTTTTTGACTGTTACTTTTATTTATTTGCTGCAAGTGGATGAATAGTAAACTAATCCTGTTCCAAACATCTGTCAGAACAATCTTGTAAATATTTGTTTTAATATGGTGACTTGATTGGCAGAATATATAGTATTTTTCTTTAACTTTTCAAACTCTGTTTTGTTAGACCTCGATCTTTTAGTCTCTGACATTGCATGAGGTTGTTGGTTTTTTTTTTTTGGGGGGGGGGCGGTGTTTATTAAGTTTTCAGATCTTTTGCTTGTTTTTGATAAGATCACTTGTGTTGTGAGTTTGTGGCAGCACAGACTAAGAGATTTTGGCTTTCAGCCAAAACTGCTTTGTAGCAAGTTACTGTAATTTCCAGTATGCAGGCTACAAGGACACATAACTGTTAACAAGTAAAGCTTTTAACGTGAAATCCTTGAATGAAACTAATGATTTTTTTTAAGTTTTTAACTATTTATAATTATTTTTATATTATTATTTTAATCCATCAAATAAAAGGAAGTATCTGAGCAATGTGTCCTAGTACTACCAGCACATCAATAGAATGCATGTTTGAACTTAGCCACTAATTTGTTTTGGTGTTTTTTTTTTTTTCCTTAAAATTCCATCTGCAGAGATGTTGTTTGCTTTGCAAACATCCATTGTAGGTATCTCATTTTCAAACTCTGAAAGACGAGTACATCAAAGTGGTGAAGGGAAAGGGGAAAAAAAGCCCATTGAACTTTATTTTCAGAAGCATTGGGGAGGAGGAGTAGTTGTTAAACGTGTAGACAAGATACATGTAAAAAAAACCACAGCCACAAACCCCTTACTCCCCACACCCCTACCTCGTCTCATTTAATTAACTTTTACTGTATTTTTATTAAATTATAATGTCCCTGATTTATTTTTTTTATCTTTTCTTTTCTGTCATGTCACCATCAATAATTGGAAAGTCTTACCCTGCTGTTAGGTACAGAATAACTAATGGTCATTAAAACTCCTCTTACATTTTCTCTTTTAGGCTGCGTTAGGAATTATGCAGATGGTTGAGGACACTCTCATTGAGCACGCTCATACAAAGCCACTCCTTCCCAGTCAGCTAGTGAGATACAGAGAAGTGCAACTTCCTGACAGTAAGTTAAATGATTTGGTTACAATTTTTTAACGCACATTAAATTAAGATTCTCTGTTTGCTGATGGCGTTTTAAAATTAATATTACTCTGTTGCTAAGAGTTTGTTACAAAATCAGACTTCTGTTTATTTTAAACTTCAAATTTAAAAATATAATTAAGATGTGGTTTTGTTCACAGACTATATTGTAGAATAACATATCTTTGTGGTATACTTGAAAATTAATTTTATTTCATTTTTTATCTGTGTATGTAAATTGGACTTCTTGGAAGTTGGAACTAGATGATCTTTAAGTTCCCTTCTAGCCCAAACCATTCTATGATTCTGTGATTCAATTCTAATACACTCAGTATGATTTATGGAAATAACAGCCCTGGCCCACTCTTTGCTACACATAGTATACGCATTTGAATAAGCATCATTTTTGAGCACCTTTTAGTGTTAATGGACCATTCAGTGAAGGATTGTCCTAAACGACTCTTGCTTGTTGAGAAAACTAAAAGCTCTTACACAAATATTTTGGTTTTTTTTTCTGTTATAAATTCTTTTGCTCTTGGAGTGTTTGTATATGATTTTACTTCAATTGTGAAAAAAAAAAAAGTCTTATATGAAAGGAGGTTCAAGGAATTGCTGAAAGTTATACAGAAGTGATGACATATGTAGCTCTACAGCCAAAGTCAATTACTCATAGCTGATCATAAGCCTCCGGAAACTACCATATAGCAAAGAAACTATTGGTATTAAATGCTGAATTATTTTTAATATTCACAAATTTTTCTGAGAAATTTTATTTAGAAACTATTTACACAGAAAAGCCAATGCAGAATTTCACTCCAGTTCCAAAAATGTTTGCTTGAGAAGGAGGAGCAGCCAGTTTCAGTTTACTTGCTGATATGCTCAAGCTATGACATTTCACTATGTTAAAATAACCTTTTCTTTACTTGAAGTAAAGTAAACTTGCACTAACTGCATACATGAAAAGTATGCAGTTAGTGGAAGTTGTTCTTTAACAGTCCTAAACCATTTATTATAATTCCTTTCCACAAGTGATAGACCATTATCTTTTTAGTTGTGGACAATAAGAATGTATGTATTTATGAGCTTAAATATTTTCATTTCATCTTTTAGGAGGTTGGTTTGTATATCAACAGAGAAATGAAGTTCATAACAATTGTGGCATTGAAATATATTACCAAACAGACATGCAGAGCACTTCTGAGAATATGTTTTTGGAGCTCTTTTGTCAAATTATCTCAGAACCATGCTTCAACACTCTGCGCACGAAGGAACAATTAGGTGAGTTTTCCCATAGCGATTATGTGTCTGTATACACACATGCCCACATACTCACGCACTTCCAAGAGACATGATGAGGTGTTCTTTCCCTGCTTAGTGAATGCCATTTAAAGGGCACTTGGTAAATGTAAATCATTTTAACTGCTGATGACTCAAAGGAATGTTACTGTGCACAGACTCTAGATTAAGGAGAAGCAAGCATAATTTTTAAGATAAGTCTGAAATACCTGAAACCGACTCTGGCTTAAAAAAAGTTTGATCCCTGTACAGAAAATTTCATATCTAGATTTTTTTTACAAAAAGGAGATAGATCAGTTTCCTAAATTTTACATCATCTTAAATAATCAGTAGTAGTAATAGTTCGGTCTTTTCTGCTTGTGATCCTACTTCAAGGTGCACTTCATGATTCATAAGCCCTATCTTAGGAATACTGCTCTGTGGGTAATAGTAAGCTGCCATGTTGATGAATACCTAAATACATTTCAGGCTTTTTAAGAATACAGCTGTTCACCAGTAAGTATAAAAATTGTTACCTGAACCCTAAGACTGAGAACTGGTAAGGTTATTCCAAGCAGGATAAGGAGGAGACTTTTTTTTTGTGAGCGACTAGCAGAATCAGCCATACCATATTCATCATAGGGATTTTAACTATCTAGATATCTGCTGAAAATAGAGCAGGACCCAGGTTATTTAGCAGGTTTTTGAAACGTGCTGGTGGCAGGTTTTGTGTAGAAGTTGAAGGTAACAGCTAAAGAGGAGAGAAGAACCAGAGAGGAGGAACTGTATGAGTGTGTTTAGCACTGCGTAACTGCCAAACGATAGTTTACAAGACTGAGGAGGAAAGAGGAGAAATACCAGCAAATTCAGTAAACTTCATGGAATTGTTAATAAGATCTCTGAGAATGCTTAAAGGAAAAAGAAGTTCAGGAGTTAGCAGTTTTCTAAACAGTAGAAGTAGTAACAATAACTCATTCAATAAATGCTTCAACAGTATGAGAAAGAGAAAAGTTGTCAATGATGGAAAAAAAAAAGTAATGTTTTAGGATGGCTTTGTTAGTTTTCACTTAAAACGTCAACTGTGACCAGGCGATTTCCAAAATAAATACTAATCATCAAAGTCCAAGGCTTACCTTTAAGCAGGAAAATAACAGATTAAAGGATATTCAGGTAAATTAGAAGCTTTTAAAGAGTTCAGGCATGACGAACTCTACATTAAAAAAAAAAAAACAGAACAAAATTATGAAATCCTGGAATTACAAGTCTTATAACTGAGAATTTGAGGATGATAGATGAGATACAGGAAAAATAAACATGGATAAATGCTATATGTTTCCATAAAAAAGAGAAGAGCAGGGAAATTACAGGTCAGTCGACTTAATACTAATTCCTGGAAAATGTGGAATAAGTTATCAAACCAGTTCTAAATTTATAGAAGGTAACTGAGAGGCTATTACTGAACAAACTCAGGTCAAACAAACCTAACTATTTTTTTATACAAACGCAGTTTGGCTGTATGGATGAAAGTCATGATGTCATATGTCTCTTGATGGTATGAAAGGCACGTAATGTTCTCAAACAAGCTAGAGAGAGCACCTAGGTGGAAGTGCTACACATTTGGGTGCAAGACTATTTGGAAAGTCATGACTGGAGAATAGACAAGAATAGTTCATTTGAAAAATGGTGTTCTACAGAGCTTCATTGTGATCCAGTGCTATTTAGTATTTTCATCAAAACTCTGGGTGACAGAAGAGTGAATATACTTACTAAATCTTCATATAATACTATAGCTGGGAGAGGCTGTGAGTGTGTGGGAAGATAGAATTCAAAATTGGTTTGACATTTTGGAAACATGACTTGAATGAAGATAAGATACAATTTGGTAGGAACAGTTTGGCGAAAATAATCAATGGCACAGATAGAAGCTAGGAATCAACTGACTAGGTAGCACTTACGTAGAAAACAATCTACAGCTTACAGTGGATCAAAATTAGAAGGTAGATCACCAGTGTCATGCTGCTGTGTAAAACGCTGGGATATATAAACAGGAGTTTCCAAGATGCACGCACAGTAATACTCCTGTATTGTTCAGGTGAGGACTTCGAAATACTGTGTCCTATTTTGACATGAGCATTAAAGAACGATTAGAGAGCTATAAAACAACATTTGAAAGACTGAAGTGTAACAGATTTGTTATTAAAGAGAAGAAGACTGAAGAAAGGCTTATCAGTTCAGATAAGCAAAAGCCACAACAAAAAGGAAGGGAGTAATACTTTCTTTGTATCTAATCGATAAGATGAGAAATAATGGTCTTACATTGCAGCAAAGAGAACTCAGGTTGGAAGTTACGAAAAAATAGTAAGTTCCTAGTGTTGAGTCTAGCATGCAGATTAATTTCTGGTTACCTAATCCTGATGACAGAATTCCTTTTGTTCTGTCGTGATCTGCCTCATCCCCTCCTCAGCCCTCCCATGAACTGATATTTACCTCAGTGAAGTAAAGATGTTTTTTAAAAAATACAGTGGCATGTTTTGAAAACCTACATTATTTTATTTATAATATAGTATTAAACTTGGCATAAAATTTCATTCCTGTCAAACATACCACATTTGGCAAACTTAATGCTGGAACAAGGGGTGACTTCTGATTTGTGACTATTCTTGTTTTGCCAAGGTTACATTGTGTTCAGTGGTCCACGTCGGGCAAATGGCATACAAGGACTGCGATTTATTATCCAATCTGAAAAGCCACCGCACTATTTAGAAAGCAGAGTTGAAGCGTTCTTAAAAACTATGGAGAAATGCATAGAAGATATGACAGAAGAGGCCTTCCAAAAACACATCCAAGCTTTAGCAATTCGTCGTCTAGACAAACCAAAGAAGCTGTCTGCAGAATGTGCTAAATACTGGGGAGAAATCATTTCCCAGCAGTATAACTTCGACAGAGGCAAGACAAATTTTAATTCCTTTAAAACTAAATGCTGTAGTTTGGCTATGCTTGTGAGTGTTGAGTGTCATATTCATTTGGGAACAACTTAAACTTTTACGTAGTCTGTGCATAATTTAGTATATGTTCTGTGATTTGTGTCCTGTAAGTTGTATTTCTTCCTTCTGCCCTGAGAAAAAACTTCATTTGCGGAGCCTGTGCTGCCACTGCTGCAGGAGCCATTAGTAACGCGGTAAACGTGTTCCCTGGTGTTCACCATATGATGGGGTTTTGCGAATGCTTCATTGACCTTCTGTTCTTTCCCTTAAGGCTCAGTGAGACATAGAGTAGGTCAAGGATTGGACGTGGTTTGAATGCAAATGTTGATGTTGCATAAGCTCTAATGTCTTTCTGTGATGTTCGGACATCTGTATTGCATATGTACCTAATGCTTGACTGAGATGCATTCAAATACACTTTGACATTCCTGATGGTGCACACCTTCATATGAACTCCACTCCACTTCCCATTGCGCGGTTCTTTTGAGGGAGCGGTGGTAGAGGCAACAGCAGGTGTATTAACTAATATGTGACCTGTCTAAACTTAGAGTAGGCTTGAAGAAACATTTATTTTTTTTGTTTTTTCATCCATGATACTTTGAAGATTATAAGCTTGTAGAAAGTCAATTGAGATCCAACTTTTAATATTATTACTGAAAATGTACTGATAGTTATTTACATTGTGATCTCATGCAGTATTTAAGTTGTATTTTTCCCTTTTTCATCATTGAAGATATTTAATGCAAAATATTGGTAATATAGTTTGTAACATTAAAAAAAAAAAAACCAAACACAGTTTTCGGTACAGACCAGCTTTTGCTCACATTTTTGTGTCTTGGCTCTTACTCACAGCTATAATTTTCCATCTTCCATGCATGATACGCTTCCTACATGAAACTCACTCTGTATCCTGTGACTTCTCTTCTGCTTTACATGCACAGTATTGGCCTTCCACAATAGCAAATGCAGTCTTTTTGGTTGGCAACGACTAACTGAACTGTTTGAATAATTGTTGTGGGTTAGGCCGCTCCAACAACCAAACCCTACACAGTTGCTCACTCCCCCACCCCCGGCATGAGGGAGAGAATCAAAGAAGAAAAAGAGAAGAGACCCGTGGGTTGAGATAAGAACAATTTACTGCTACCGCTACTAATGTACGGATATGTACAAGGATAAATATGTACAAACGAGCGATGTACGGTGTAACTGCTCACCACCCCTTGACCGAGGCCCGTCTCATCCCGAAGCTGCAATCCAGAAACAGATAAAACCCGATACTGCAATCCTGGATGAATGGGAGGCCCCGAAATAGAGAGTGAGAGAGAGAGAGAAAACACCCTGAGAGTCCGAAAGTGAGAGTCCTGGAAGGGCAAAAGCCCTTCTTTCCGGCTGACCTTCACTTTTATACTGGGCATGACGCCGCATGATATGGAATACTAATTGGCCAGTTTGGCCCTCAATCTTAAGTCCAAGTACAAATTGTAAGGAGAGTTGTGGACCCCTTGTCCCAGCCATGCTCCCCCCTTATTCTGTTGTGCTCCTGCACACTGGCAAGAACATGGCAGCTGAAAAGTCCTTGAGACCTCAGTGCTAACTACAAACGTCAGTGCGCTATCAACATTCTTCTCAGAGCGAGCCTCTGAGTAAAACCAAAACACAGAGCTCTTCTAGCTGCTAAAGAGATGATCTAACTCTGTCCCAGCTAAAACCAGGACAATAATGAAGAATTTCGAATTGTCATCTAGCTTGATCTCTAGAGAGTGAGAGCTACTGACAAGGTTTCATGCCTGAGTATAAGGAGTGATGTGGAAACTTATACCTTGAAGTACTTTTTTTGTGTCTGATAAAACAGTTTAATTTTTCTCTGCCTAAGTGTTTCTGTTTTTACCATACTTGGATCTAGATTCTCTCTCTGGAACTTCTTACTGCTAGCTGTAGACATATCTTTCATATCTAAATCCCACTCAACTTATTATTTCCCTAGACTTTTATATCTTTAATTTCCTTCTACCCACTAGTAATTTTATTTCATTAATGATTCTAATATGACTAGAATTGTCAAAATCAGAAATTCATATTCCAGCCTTAAGAAGTGAAAGGGTTTTTTATTCAAGTTTTAAAATTTTAATTATTACTTGTACTGATTTACTTTAAATTTTTTCTCCCAAATGGCATCTAATTTTCCAAACTGTTTTGTTGATTTATTTATTTATTTCCTTGGTGTAGAACTTGATATTAATTGCTTACAGCCTGCCTGACAGACTTGTTAGCTGCATATTTGTTCTTTTGCATGCATTTCTTTCTTGATCTTCCTGCTAACACTAAGAAAAGCAAGCATGCCTACAACAAAAAACATTCTTGCTTATTCAGCAATGATATTACATGATTAGTTCATTACAACTTAATTTATATGAAGTGATGTAGCTACTGAGACATTGTCCTCAGACATCTTAAAAGTGATTATTCCTTAACAGGTATGATGTAGGCATTTCTTACATTTATTTAAAAGTACATCCTACCATCCTGTTTCCTAACTATAATAGCCGTCTACAATAATAATGAATAAAAGCCATTTATAATCAGTCTGCATTAGAAATATGTAACGTTGATTTGAAGATAATATACAGAAGTAGGCATATATTTTTTAGCTACTGAATAACATACAGTGCAATCAATATTCTTCAAACATGCATTTTTTAGTGAGTCCAATCAAATGGACTTACTGAAGTATAATTTTCTGCCAAGCTTACAATGACATTTTTAGTGATGTAAGTATTAGCTTGAAAGTTAAGAATGAAAAGCGTATCATTTGCAGTCAATTACAGCATCTGAATTTGAAAGAAAAATACTTTGAATAAGTAGTGGGCCAATAACCCGCTATGATTTGCAGACTTGTTCTAATTTTTACTATTGTTGTGCAGATAACATTGAAGTGGCTTATCTAAAGACCCTGACCAAGGATGATATTATACAGTTCTACAAGGTAAGTTAGTCATGTAGTTGAAATCTTACCTTGGAAAGAGGTGTAGATATAACTGAATGTTATTTTTGTGAACTATGAAAGCATATACTTATGCCTGGTTTAGGTAGATGATATGATTGATGCAGATACCTTAATAATAATTTTGTTTCCTGAATCTTTCTTAGTTTAATGGCAACTAGCATACTGTAAAAATTGTGGAGAAGGATTGGGTTTTGTTGTGTGTTTTGTTTTTATTTTTCTTATTAGCTCTCACTCTTGTCTCATTTATCCTTTCTTTCTGAATAAAAAAACATGCTGCTCTATGACCAAGCTTGGCCAAAATTGCAGATTTGTTAGTTTATTTTTTTTCTTCAGTGAGTAAATGATTCAGCTTATTTTGTGTGCATGAATCATGAATAAAACATGTTTTTAAAGCTTTGTTCACTGTAAGTCAACACTTTATAGGCAGAACAAAGGAACAGCATAATGATGCAATAATTGTACATTGCAATTCAGCATGAAGTTGCTAGATAGATATCTAATATAAGAAAAAAAATAAATTGGGCCTCGTTCTTTCTGGTTTGTAACAAATTTCATAGGCAATGATAAGTCACTATATTGCAAAGTGTACATCATTTTATTAATTACGGAGCAGCTAATAGCTCAGGGAATACTTTGAAAAATAATATAGACTTATGTCTTTGAAACTTATTATTGGAAAAAGTTCTGCCCATGAAGCATGGGTATGTGTGTGTGTATGTGCTCTTTTTTTCTCTTGAAGGAGGGAGGATGTCACTAATCTCTTTCAAAATGATTCCTCTTTTATACGCTCCCTTATTCTTTTCACTATCCAAGGTCATTTTTTACATTAACGTCTATTTTTGAGATTTAGTCTTAATGCTTGAAACTGACTTATTTACATGGCACAGTGAACACTGACGTCTTTGGGTTTTTAATAGTATGATAGTATGCATGAAAATATGCAGCAAATGCAAACTTAGTAAATCAAATTTCAGTAGCTGTTGTTTAATAAACAATAACTTGAACAAGTATCCACATTCTGTTTTGTAGGAATCTCTACTATTTTGCTTACACTAGTGCTCAATACATGATTTTCTGGTATTCCAGAGCAGAAATAACTGGCTAGATTGGTGAGCTAGTCCAGCTGAGTTTAAAAATGATGTTCAGGTGATAGGCTTCCAGAAGGTTGCCAGGGATTGAAAATTCTGCAGAGATTTTAGGTTGCATTCCTGATACTATGATAGTTAATGGCTGAATTGCTATTGCTTCCAGTTTTTCTGAGTCCCAAACAGTACATAAATTTCTTAACTTGATTATAAAATAATTCAAAGTACTGTATGGATGACTTAGGGATGGCCTGAAGGGACATCCAAAAATTCATCCTTCGTTTTAAAGCTTAAATTAAAATGCTCTCATTCTTTTGCTGTTTTATAAATACAATGCCTGAGTGATATTTCCCACACCTCAAGGACTTGATGTTTTTTACCGTAGGTGCTGTTGGCAATAGATGCTCCCAGAAGACACAAGGTATCGGTACATGTCCTTGCAAGGGAAATGGATTCCTGTAAGTATTGTGCTGAATATAGCATTTAATCAATTCCTGTTCAAGCAAGTCGTAGTTAAAGACAGCCGTGTTATATGATACAAATACACTATAAGAAAAACTCAGCTCTGGAGATTATGTACCTTTCAGAGGAAAAAAATATTTCTTTTTATAGGTTTTCTTCACATGGGTGCTTCAGATTTTCTGATCAATGTTTGTGGCTGAATTCTTCAACCGTTCTAAAGTATATTGATATTAAAACAATATATCTTAAAATAGCACTCGTTTTTTCAACAAGATATTTTAAAACAAACATAAAAAGCTGTAATAGACCTACAGGGAAACACAAAATTAGGATTTGCAGTTATCAATACAATGTGGGGTGAGTTTTTTTTTCTGACGAGCAATGAATGTCCACAATTTTATTCAAGCACTCTCAATGAGGGGAAAAAAAACAACAACTAAAACCAAACCAAAACCCCAAAACAACACTCTCAGCCCTCTGGGAATGTCAAACATTATGTTTAAACATGAGAAGGTCAAAGTTTATTTAGGTTTTATTTTCGAATAATCTAGATTACTTGTGCATTGAAACTGTGTTGTTCCATTTTGAAATTCAAGAAGGATATGATGAAAAGTGTTTCTGGTTAATATAAATAAACTGAGAGGAAAAGTTTCTATGTTATTTTGTGTGGATTTTTCACCAGTTTACACTGGATTGAAATTCCAACATTTAACTGGTTGCAAAATGAAGACTATTAAAAGCTTGTCTGTAGAACAGAAAGAAGCAGATGCTGTGTGCCTGTCATGAAACTCCTTCCAGTCTCGGAGTGATTGATTTTTGTAGTACCGTGGAAATTGTAACTCTGCAGCTGAGTAAGGAAGACTTGCTTGAAAGCATCTTTCCAGTTTGCATGACTCGTCATTGCTAAATAGAAATAGCTCTAACACTTTTCCTATCTACAGAAAACTTTTTAAAATGCAGCAACTACATTGCCAGAATGGTTTCTTGTTTGCTTGGAATGATATCTTCCCAAGACAAGAGTGAGCATGGGAGACAACCTAACAATCATTTACAGAGATTATAGCAACGTATTTTCTCTACATAATCCCCAGTCCTAAACCATTTTATCTAGTGTGTGGCTTCTCTTCTGCCATGAAAGAGAAATTGGGACTTTAATTCGTTTCCCCTGAGTCCAAATGAGCATTCTTCAAAGTGCAGGTGGCCATCCACTAGAGAGTAACAAAGGAGGAAGGCTAAAAAGCTTGTCAGAATCCTTCCTTCTGGAGGCAGACACACCATTTTCTCTGAGGGTGGAGAAGAATCAGAAGTGGAAGAATAGAGATCTGGGAGTTCAGGAGAGGCAAGCCCTTGAACGCCGAGGATGAAGGTTACGGTGGAAATTTAAGTATGGAGGTAGAAGGGACATTTAAGGAATTTAAGACTGGAAGTTCTTACAGACAAGTGGATTGCATGCAGGAAGAAGTTTTGGGGGAACTGGAGTAAGGTATGCATGGAGACAGGCAGGGAAGACTTGGGGTTGCTATCCAGAATTTTGGTACACGGAGTAACCCCCACTCCTCCACAGGCATGTCCTTACTAGCAGGTGTGCTGTTCTTGCATTGCTCTTGTTGCATATACCACTGGCATTTACTACTGTTCTCATAATTTGTGCTGGAAAACAGTTTTAAGTATTCATTGATCAGTAGATGAGCAATTTTTATTTCTGCATTCTCTTTATCTGTCAGTAAAATGAATAAAAGCCACTGCCTCAGCACATGTTCTCAAGTCAAATAATGGGTTAAGCTCTTTATATTTCTAAAGATAGCCATGGAGTATAAAAGCAAAATTTTCAGAAAATCTTACTTAGAGATACTTGAAAATTAATAACCTGTGCTTTATATAGATACTTGTCTTATAAGAGAAAACAGTTTATGTAAAAGGTACTGATTACTTATGGTCCTGAATTAATTTTGATGGTGTTAAATAGGCCCTGTTGTTGGAGAATTTCCATGCCAAAATGATGTGAACCTGGCACCAGCACCACCACTACCACAGGTAAAAAGAAACAACACACAAAAAATCCCAGGCTGTATTCTTAATAAAGAAGTTTAGTATTGTTAGATACAAGTTTATAGGGAGAAACAAACTACTTGAAATTCATGCTGTTGTGGGGCTGATGTTTCAGCTCTTTTCAATATGTATTGTGATCCTCAATAGCAACAGGGATTTTTCCTGATTTTTTTTTTTCCAACAGTCTGTCCTGTTACCTTTGTTCCTTCTATTCTATTGAAATGAAAGCTAATATTAGTAGTTAACTCTCAGTAGAGTATCTACACTATAGAGTAAAATACAGATGATTATTGTCTGAAAATACTAATTGTGTATGACTGGATGTTTCAAGTGCAAAGACAAAGATGCACGTGTATCAACAAATTTATCATCTTTGTTTAAAAAAAAGCCAAACCAAACCAACATCAACAAACCCAACTGTCTGGTCATTCTTAAAGTCTAAAATATTAATACACATTCCTGTCAATCTGTAACCTTTGGAGGAAGCAATATAAGAAAGTCTATTTATACACTTTTCATACACAGATTTCACTGTGTGGTTAGATATGCTAGTTCTGGGCCCTTACTGGACCTTAATGGATTTTCTTGAAGAGTGATGGTAGTGTTTGTCCTGATAGATATTTAACTTCTCGCAATGCAGTAGTAGATCTCTGTTCTTATTCAGTGCTTATGGGTGAAATAATCACCATGGGTGGAAACTTCTATATGAATTGTATGTGGATATATTAGCCATTATGACTGAAATATTAAAAAGATACTTTGTTACTGCAACGAAATATAGCTTACTGAATTGCTATTGGGTTTATGATCTTACCTCTGGTATTCAAAGGATGAGTGGGATGTTCTGAAGAAGAATTTGTAAAAGAAAAGACAAGCTCTGCATTTGCTAAAGTTCCTGACATTATTAGTAATGCAGTTACAGCATTACAGCCATTTTAAAAAATTATCTAGAGTAAATATGAAACTATTTATTTCATAAGAAATAACACTAGATTTTGGGTGATCCTGTAATCATGAAATATGAATCACTAATACTGTAGAAAAGAGCAAGAAAGATGGGTTTGTATGTAGCCGTAGCAAAAGTTAAAATGAAAAGCGAGGAATTTCTCACTTTTCTGATTAAAGATACTGAGCAGACTTTCTTGCGTACGCTTCTTTGCAGCCAAGTGTGATTGAAAATAT